AAAGGTTGAAAGTCACTATGACTTTAGCTCCTTCGTTTCGCTTCAGAGGAGCCTGGCTGGTGGCCACAACTCTGTCTCCCCTAGCCTCATGCTATGGCACATGGCAGCCTCCACCTCCCTCGCTCTGCCAGCCTTTCTTCACCTTTAGGTCCTCCCAGAGTTTTTCCTTTGCCTGTTCCCCGTGGTAAGCCCCATTGCTCCCATAGCTATTTCAGAGGGCTGTAACCACAACTGGCTTTTCACCGACGTTAGATAATCCGAGCCGCGTGCCGTGGCTCTTCCTTGCAGAAGATGGCCCGTTGGTCAAAGGGTGTTGTTTAAACCCAGGCTGGAGGGGTAGGGATTTAGAAATCCTGCCCTGCTTTACCTCAGGCTTGGATGCAATCGCTCCGCAATGAGGAAGCAGGAGGAGTCCTCCTACGCTTTGTCATAGTTCTCCTAAAAGGAAGTTATTTCACATCTGAGGGCGAACGGATCCAGGAAGGTCTCAGGAGACACGTGGGAGAACGTGCCCACACTTGGGAAAGGGAGGCTGTGGGAATACCCTCTAGTGGACTTTATGGCAAATGAATCCAGATGTCCAAGTACCAGCTGCTCCCCTTGATTAACTCTAGTGTAGACATAACCTTAGACCTTGCTTCATTTCCTGCTCTGGTTTGACATTCTATCTCAGGTAGAGACAGCATGAAACGAAGAAGGAAAACCAGCTCATGCACAGTATTCACGAGAATGATGCAGTTACTGTGAGGTGACACCTAGACCAAAGATCTCCCAGTTTATAAAAATCAAAACAAGCCAACAAGGTGGCAGGGAGGGGTGTAAGGGACAAGGAAAGCAGCTGAACACTTTATGTAGGTAAAACAACTTTGGTGAGCCTTGAAATTAATGCTGTAGCTCTAAAAGGTGTCTAAAAGTTTAATGTAAATCCCCTCTGTGATCAAGACAGTTGTCTTGTCCTGGGGAAGAGAAATCTACAAAATACAGCATCTCCCCAAAGATGCTATATATATGTGCAAATATGTATATAAATTGGCTCTGTTCTACTGAGGGCATTCACTAATATCTCCCTGAAGAAGGAAAAGGAGAAAAAAACATCTGCTCTTGAGATTTCTCTTCTTGAAGAGACTAGAAAATCTTCTAATGTATAAGAAGTGGTGTGCCTTCTTTTTCTTCCACTGACAACTCCTGAGGAGATCCACTCTGGCTTGCTCTCTGATTTCCAGGATGGCAAATTTGTTCAGCTCCTCTTTGCCTCGGGCTCAGGGCAACATTTTCTGAGGGACGTGAATTGTTGAGATGGTTGGGTCAAGTCTGGGCTGGACTCTGTTGAAAACTCCTCTGTTGCTCATAATGTCTTCCCGAGGGTATATCTATGCTGGCAATTCGTTACGGTCCCAGCCTGCTTCGTTACGGATCTCCCGTCCTTTGACTGTCTCCATTCTTGGTTGCAGAGCGGATATCTGGAGCAGCCCTTGCTGGACAAACTCGAGGAAGCTCACACTGTGAGATCCTTGGAATCTGTTCATCTGTACCACAAGAGGGTTCCTCCGAGTCTCCGTCACTCCGAGGAGTCCTTAGAGTGTGGAAAGTGCTCAGCAGTGCGTTATGAAAGCGGACGATTCCTTCCCTGTGCTGGTCCCTCACCCATGCAATGATCCTTTTGATGACATCGGTGCATAAGATATTTTTAGCATATGAAATGCGTACTTTTCCAAGCTGGATTTCAAACTATCAGTTTATCCTATATGGCATTATTCTACCCGTTAGAATCAATTAGATCACTGCTATAAATCCTTAGCTTGACTGTTTGTTTTCTGCTGCTCCTGTTTTGCTTTTCAGGGCAATCCCGCTGGTTTGGTACCACGAGGGCTGCGTATTTCTGTCTCACATGTGCTTAATAAATGTTATATTTGCTGTCAGGGCTGTAGCCAGGTCCTTAAGCTCTCCCAAAACCACTTGCAGAGTCTGGAGAGCTCACTGCTCGGGTCTGGAAGCAATAGTGTTACCCGTGTTGATCCTAGATCCAGGTTTCCGCAGACCTCTGGAACAACCCCACGGAGTTAACCGCAAAGCTACTTTAAAGTAATTCTCTCCACAGCATTCCATATGAAACCAAGACTGAAAAGGGAAATCTAGAAGTTACTCGAAATCTTGGAACTTCCCGTAAAAGCTTTGTAAGTAATAGAAATACAAGCTTAAAACATACACGAGGTGTTTCATTCCAATTTCTTGATGACTAAGTGGTTGCTCAGCTTTATCTGCTGCAAGTCAACTGTCAACTTACAGGAAGATTATTGAAGGCAGCTCAGAAAGACGTCGTTCCACTCAAACAACCCAGATGCCATCTGTTTGCCAAAATGGTAAAGCTGATCAGAATGATTTTGGTTGCGCTCAGTTGTTGTATTCGGTTTATATTTAGCTGTTTTCAGGTTGTAGTCAATACTTTATTGGGTATCTGGTTTCACTTTTCTATTCGATATTAAAACAGGGGAAAACCCGGCTCAGCAGCGTATGCTTTCACTTGCACGCAGGAGGCAGCATTACAGCTCATCGAGACTGCAGAAAAACTCATTTCAAGTAGAGCAGGGCACAGATCACTCTTGGAAACCTTTTTCAGATAGGTACATGGTTCTTTTTATCCGTCTTCAAAACACTACAACAAAAAAGACATTTGATAAAATCACCTTTGTGCCATGACTAAATATGTCCGCTTCTGGCAAAGGGAGCTCCACATCCAGTCTGGCTCTTTAGTTCATTTATTAAAGCTGTCCTTAACTTTTTGGAAGGATTTAACTCATCCAGTTCTCACTTCTCTGCCTCCACATTTACTTCATTTGTTTACGGGTATCTCCAAGCTTGTGACATCCACAAGTCACATTCATATGCGTGACAATTTGGGCTGGTGGCACTTCTGCTACGGCTTGCAAATTGCACTCCCCGGCAATTCTTGCGGTGGGGATGTGGCCATCCCCTCCATGCAGTGAATTTAAGCCACTCGTAGTAGGCTTGCTGTTTCTTGTTTACCTTTCAGAACTGCCTAAGCAGTAGCAGACAATCTCCAGGAGGTCACGGGCTGAGAAACGCTCAGCCAGAGGGAAAATGGAGGAAGAAGTGGGGGGTAGCGCTCCACCACGGGAGTCCAAAAGCCACCGGCAAAGAAAAGAAAAGCTCAGAGGTGAGGCAAGGGCAGAAAAAAAAAAAAGTTCCTGGCATTTCTAACCAACGCAAGTCTTCAGAAGCGTACGGTATTCATGCATCATTAGGGGTAAAAGAAGCAGGTGGTGTTTTAATTTGGTTTGTTTTGCTTTTTGAAGCATTGCTTGATCAGTTCTCGTGGCAAGTCAGCCCCTGCAGTTCCTGTCTGCCAGGAGAGACCTCTGCAGTGCCCTGCTAAAATGCTTAGGAAAGCAGTGACATCCATATGGATGTTAGTGGTTAGTAAGGCTAGTGTGGCTTCTAGAAACCTGCTTGAAACAACTGTTTGAACGATAATTATCCTCTGGTTCTGATGAAGGAATATTTAGGTGAATTGTTTAGATTGCCTGAAGGATGGATGGGTCAGTTCCTATCCCAGCAGCTTTATTATCTGTAAAAGCAAGGTGGGGTAAAAACTCGCTATCGCTTCTAAAAAGCTTTACATTGAAGAACAGCTAATTTTTGCCAAACTGGCTGTTATGGGAGATATCTGAGGAAAATGTTATCGTTTCAGGTAACTCAGCTTATGGCACTGTGTCATCAGAGCCCCTAATGAATCAGCCCCAAGATGTCACCAGGGAGACCAGGCTCTTTTGACAGCACTGGCCATTTGGGACCGCTAAAGAATTCAAATTGTCTGGCAGAAAAATGATCACGGTTTTTGTTGTTGTTGATATTTCTGTAGATGCTCTTTCTAGCGCTTCAGCAGTACGGGGCAAATGACATTAAGCAGAAAACATACTTAATTACTCCCAGCCTCAGTCTGCACTACAGATATCCAAGCAGCAAACTTTTTCCAGGAGAGATGCAGGAAAAGGACTAATCCCTGCAAGTGCAAACTGGTCAGTCAAATTCCACGCACTGAGTTTTAGAACCAAACAATTGTCTCTCTCCTCAACCTTCCCTAAAGCAAGGTATATCCCTCACAAATTCGTTCTTTTTTTTTTTTTTTTAATAGAATCATAGAATCTCAATTCTTGAGACATTTTAGCTATATTCAAATTATAGGTGAATAAACATAACAGAGAACTCCCCCCAAAACGCCAAACAGATCTTGCTGGATGGTAGAAAAACTCATAAAAACTTCAATTTTTCTTCTATTTTTATATGTACAGAAGATAAATGGTTGAGCACAAAGTATTGTACTACTGAGTTCATTAGCTTTTATCTAACCCAGGCAAGAAATCTCTCAAAGTTGTTACTAAATGATCATACTTCTGTGTTGTCAGTTTGATCCCTGCGGGATGTGCCCGTCTCAGAGAAAATGCCCATCCAGGTGCGTTGGCCACCTCAGCTGAGAGGTCAAGGATTGAATGGGTGATGGAGTCTTCAACATCTACACATCTCTGAGGGGGGGCTGCATTAATGAAAACGCTACTGCATACATATCTTACTGCTGAATAAAAGCATCACTTTCAGATGTTGTCAGTCTCCAGCCTGACACAGATATTAAATTCACACAATCTCTCTTTAAGAATTGCGTGTGTGAGTAGATTTTGAACTACATTGTGCCTTGCAATGAAATTTCATTTTTCAGAACTGAAAAGCAGGCAGGTGGTTATGAACCCGTCTTAAGTTATTTCTCCAACCCGAAACGTAAGTGCTGTTTGAAAACATTTAAGGAAATAGAACATCTTAGTAGGGGCCACAGCAACTTTTCACGAATTTATTTTAGCTTGCATCAGTATTCTGAGCTACAAGGATTATAATTTAGTGGAGAGACTCTCATTGGGAGAGGGGATTGAAGTTACCGAGGCAGCAGCCCCGTGAGTCGACAGGGATGCTAATAGAGCCACAGCAGAAGTTTAGAGAGCAGATCAGAGCAGCTGGGTGGGCTGATAGAGAGGATCAGGGCAGCCCAGAGGAGCAGTAAGAGGATCCAAATAAGTGGATTAGTAGCATACCAAAGCACACATTACTTTTAGTTTTCAAACTCCCATTGATTTTAGTGCGGGTGCATTTAGTAATGTGTGGCAGGAGAAACAGAAGAGGATCAAGGCAGAATCGAGACACGGAGAGCAGCTCCCTATGGCAGAGCTGGAAACGGCGAGAAGGCCGGGCCGGGGAGGCACAGCATAATGTCCCCACATCAGTCTCAGGCAGGACTTAAGGGAGGGTGGCTGTTGTCTGGGCTTCTTCATTCCCGCAGCCTCACGGAGCTGTCTAACGTCGCTAAATGCTATTGTTGCCGCAGCTGATGCTGCATTCATTTTCCATCCCTGGCTCCAGTGATCGACTCTTTCCATTGCTGCACCCTCACGTCCGCCTCTGGCTGCCGTGGCTGGAGCAAACCGACACAAAAATGTAGGTATGATGAGTAGCGTAACCCTCCTCGAACTCTGCCTCACTGGGCTGCTGGACCCCGAGCTGAGCTTGCTGCAGTTTGTGCCTGTAGAGTTCATCAGGAACGGGAGCGCTGACCCGGCTGTGCTCGGGCTCCCATGGCTGACATCGATGGCCAAACGTGCCCTCTCCGAGCACGCCAGCCTGGCTTTACCCTTCAGCTCTTCAGAGGCGGTAGCAATGCAAAGGCACATCCAGGCTACCATTTCTAAGCACTATGACTCTTTATCTAGCACAAACCCCAAACTTCTAGGCAAAATAATGAGCCCTACGCACGTTGCCCCAGCTCTCTTGAAGCACCTGGGGCTGCAAGTGGGAGGCAGGGCAAAATCTGTGCAGCTCACAATTTTTCCACGTTGCAGAGAAGCACAGGACATGCAGGGATGTGGGCAGGCTTTTTTGCCTCTTCCACATTAGCTTCCACAAAAGCATTGTTGGTACCTTTGCTTCTTTATCCTCCTCCTGAGACACCTCAGTCTCCCCACCCGCTCCTCCCAGAACTCAAATCCGAAAACTGGTTTGTCCTAGGGAAGAGTTAATACCTTAATATCCAATTATCCTACAAGTGTTTGATCGGAGTGGATGACCATCACACACTTTGACTCTTACACTGCCCTTCCTTGCAGTCTGAGTCCAAGCTACACATAAAACGAGAGAAAGGAGGAAAAGCCCAGGCTTACAGTCAAAATGGGCTTTGCATTCTGCTACAGAAATATACAGAGGGTTTGTAACCGCACACACAAAGAACACTTTGTACATAGATTCAGTTATATCCTTTATTGTTGAAACAGTTCTGGAATGTTTTGGTCTCCGTGAGCTGGCAAATAGATGAAAACATCGGTCCGTCCTGTAGTTTTTTTCTTTTAGATTTCTATGAGGAAGATTAACAAGCAGCGGAACGGAGAAGAAACCATTCCAAAATAGTGTCTCAAAGGAAAGAAAAGAGTAGAGACAGAAGATGTCAAGTACCATGACTAAAACGATACAGGAAGAACTTCAGGTGGAATCAGAAAACTTCTCAAGGACACCCAAAAACATACCTTTGTAATGACCTGCTCTTCAGACACACCGAGACGAAAGCCCCCCTGGAAGGGAAGGTTTGTAGCAAGATGGCACGACACCAGCGTCACCTCTTGTCTCTTTGGGAGCTGAGAAAAGGTACTGCCTGCGTACTTTGTACGACCACGAAAACATCACTGGAAACCTGCAGGGGAAAAACACTCCCACAGTTTATAAAATCCTCAATGACGCTCGTAACACTTAACTAATCAAAATATCTAACCTAGGAACCTGCCACCTACGCAGCTCCTGGTCTCTGATTTACCCCTTCACCATTCTCCTGCTTCCTACCACCACACTGAACTTCTCCAGCCTCCAAGACGAGTAGTAATTAGCAATCATGGCACTATTAACATAACAGTTGGCAGCCCGGCCTCACATGGATTCCTTGACATTGGACTTAAAGCCTCAGATCAAATCGTCTGGAGAAGGCTCCAGGGAGACATTATAGCCCCTTCCAGTACCTAAAGGGCCCTACAAGAAAGATGGGGAGGGACTCTTCTTCAAGGAGTGGAGGCTATAGACTAGGGATAATGGTTTTAAACTGAAAGAAGGGAGCTTTCGATATGAGGATGAAATTCTTTCCTGTGAGGGTGGTGAGACACTGGAACAGGTTGCCCAGAGAAGCTGTGGCTGCCCCATCCCTGGAGGGGTTCAAGGCCAGGCTGGATGGGGCTTTGAGCAACCTGGTCTGGTGGGAGGTGTCCCTGCCCATGGCAGGGGGGTTGGAACTCAATGATCTTTAAGGTTCCTTCCAACCCAAACCATTCTATGATTCTATGATTTGTCCTCTGCAATCCTACTTTCTGAATAATAATCAAAATTCTGTAATTAACTGGACACACCTGTGAGCCTGGAAGCAAAGAAAAAGTCTGGGACATCCTGATGTGAAGAGCACTGCTGCTGTTAATAATGAAGTATTTTAGAAGATTAATTATATTTAATTGGTTAGCTCATGATCTAGCATCTGAAATGAAAAAAAATTAGAAAAATATTACACACCAGAAAATTGTTGGGAAAATTAATATCAGTTACAACGGGGAGGGAGGGGATATTTTGAAAGTAACTTGCAGCATAATAAAACGGTCCCTAGGAAATAGTCAGGGATAATCATACTGACTTGGAATATGTCGCAAGATAAAGCCCTTATTTTGGTTAGCTAATTTCATGGCATTTTGAAAAAACACATTACTCAATTAATGTTTTGACTGAGTAAATACTTTGCTATATATATAATAAATAGCAATATATATAGTACTATATATTCATTAATATTTGCAAAGTGCTCTGAATTTTCCACATTTTTACCAGGAAAAAAAAAAAAAGGAACTATGGGTTCTTCACGTGCAACAGTAGCAATCCGATACTAGGACAGTAACGGAAATAAAAGATTAAAAAAATATATACATGAAATTAAAAGCCGACTGCTGCTCAGAGGCAGGGGACTTCTATCCAAAGTCACTCGGCTGCAGCCGGCGACTGCCGAGGGTGACACAAGGCAGCCATTCTAGCGGAATAAAGAGGACTTTCATCGCCGGGTGTCCCCAGCCAGAACAACGCCATGGTGGCCCGTGACAAATGAGCAGACAGTCCCAGGCCAGTTGGAGGATGCCCACCCCAAAAACGCCCCGCGACAGGCTCACAACTGACTGCACGCAGGAGCCTGGGAGTTCTTGAAGTAGTCGTTTTCTTTTTAAGTCACGGCTGAGAAACGTTAGCAGCGGAGGACGGAAAGCTTGGTTTTCAGCTACCAGATCCTCCTACGTGTTGTGTGGATAAGAAGACGACTTTGACCTGAAGTCACCTCGTCCCAGTTTCTAATTCACTTTTATGCAGATGAGACGACAGGATCGGGGTCTAGGTGTCCAAACTGACTCAATACTTTCATAAATGAAAAAAACTGCAAGATTTACTCATATGAATGGCCATAATTAGGTCTGCTTGCAGGATCACGCTTATTCTGCGTGTAGAAAAGAATCTCTTTAATTCACAGGAAGAAAAAGAGAAATATTAACAAAAAAGGGGATGTGCTAACTGTTGTAAAACATAACTTGAAACTGCAGTGTGCAGCCTTCAGACTGAAACGTCATTTCACATCGTAAGCGTCCCCTTTTAAGAAAAAAAATCCAATGCAGAAAAGGAAGAACTAAAAGGAGAAAAAGGGCAGTTGCTAAAACGCTGCTGTCACTTTTTCATGAATTACACCCCAAAATGTTTCACAAAATTGAGTAACTGAGGAAAACAGAAAAGACCTTTTTATTTTTGTAGCACATTCCTTTGGCAAATGCAGGATAAAAGCCCATCATGTGAGCTGAACAGTAAATGAAGGCCTTATGCTTTATAAAAATTCTCCTATTGTCCCAGGAAGGATGAGAGTCAAACACAACAGTTTCAGCAATGCTCCAAGTCTTGTAAATAAAGTTAGCAGACAGGAATCAGCAGACTGCTTGGGAAAGGGGAAAAAAAAAATAGAGAGAGAAAATACTCTTTTTGTGCACAAAATTTAGGCACATTGCTGCTGAATTTCAGACCTGACTTCACTGTGCTGTACCAGAGATTAATTGGACCCACACAATTTAGCAAACAGCATATGACATCCATCTACCTTTGCTGCTTCAGCATCCTCCCAAAATATATATAATTCAGGATTTTAAATAGTACGTTAGCCCAGTTTCCTTTCACAAAGCCTTACAGAGAAGTTTAGGAAAATTCCAAAAGTAGCATATTGATTGCCTCTGGGATTTTCCACTTAGCAATTTAATAGAAAATTACACCCTTACCCAATCTGCGAGGTTTCCATAACCTCCCTCATGAATTTAATTTTCCAGAGTCTAATAAACTTTACCATCAGGCATATTTTCTGGTATTTCTTCACCATTAAGCCCATTTCCTGATTCTGCTTTTTCGGAACCGGGTATACTGTCTGCACAGCACCTCGTCGAGAGAATTCAGATCTGACTTGGTCTGCGCTCACGGTTAGGATACAGATCCCTGCTGTTAATATTCAATTTGCTTTCCTCTTACTAATTTTATGTCATTATTCCAAGTGACAGGGTCAGTCAATATTACTGGAGCCAACGGGATTCCCCTGGGTACTCCGACGAGACCAAGGGGAAAATCTGCGTTTGCATCTGTTGGAGTAGGCGTATGCAAGTATCACATACTCTTCTCCTTGTCAAAACACAGCCTGACTACACGTAAAACACAAGATGATGATCGGGAGCTGTGTTTTCAGTTATCGGCAGTCATAACTGTAAAAACCCTGGGTCCTTCTTCTAACAGGCAACAGGCAAAAGCACCCCTGACTGTAAAAGAAAAGGTACACAGACTAATTTAGGCAAAAAGCACTCGACTATAAAAAAAAAATAAAAAAATCTGCTACACCAGAAACAAGTTTAGCACAAGAAGTGAACTGGAAGCGTGGCCAAAAGGCGTCAAGTGGTGAATAGAGCCTGGCACTGCTTTCAGCTGTGTTTGGGCCACCCGTACGGCTCTGGTGACCCCCTGGGGACCACCGGTGGGTCGCTGGACCTGCCAAATCCCTCTCCTCTGGGGGATGGAGCCCCCATTCCTCTTGCCACGCCGACCCACGTTTAACTAACGTGGGCAAAGCTCAGCGTCCCTCAGCCCGACCGTCAATTCAGCTTTCTCCTCCGGGCCTTGGTCTGCGACACCGTTGCGATAATTACTGTAAAACACGGTAAAAAAGCTGCCGTTAGCATCAGCCAAGCCCCGTTTCTGGGTTTGATGCCCACTTTCCCCACACGACCACCCCCCACCAGCACCAAGTTCAACCCCATCCCCGGCCGGGAACGTCCCCCGGTCCTTCTAAAGACGAAGAGTTCCCCCCCACCCCCGCCTCTTCCCTCAGGGAACCCACCGCCGGGGCCCCGCGGGCGGCGGAGCGGCCGCCAGCGCAAGGCCGCGGCCGAGAGGCCGCCGGCTCCCTCACGGCCGGGCCGGGCCGTCCCCCTCTACCCGCCGGGGAGCCGCGGG